TTTCCCCCCGCTTCTCTCCCCCCCTTTTCCCTCTCTTTTCGCTTCCCCTTTTTTCCCCCCCCTTCCTCTCTCTTTTCTTTTTCCCCCGTTCGCCTCCGTCTGCTCTCCCCGCTTCTCCTCTCCCCCGCTTCTGCTCTCCTCCTGCTTCTCCTCTCTCTATCCTGCTTCTGCTCTCCCCGCTTCTCCTCTCTCTGCTTCTGCTCTCTCCGCTTCTCCTCTCCCCGCTTCTGCTCTCTCCTGCTTCTTCCTCTCTCTGCTTCTGCTCTCCCCGCTTCGCTCTCTCTGCTTCCCCTCTTTTCTGCTCTCCGCTTCTCTCCTGCTTCTCCTCCTCTCCTCCCCGCTTCTGCTCTCCCCCTCCTGCTCTATTCCCGCTTCTGCTCTCTCTGCTTCTCCCTCCCCGCTTCTGCTCTCCCCCTGCTTCTCTTCTCTCTCCCTGCTTTGCTGCTTCTCCTCCGCTTCTGCTCTCCCTGCTTCTGCTCTCTCTGCTTCTGCTCTCCCTGCTTCTGCTTCTCTCTCTTCTGCTCTCTCTGCTTCTTCTCTCCCTCTCTTCCGAAATACTCTCCCTCAGCTTCTGCTTCCCTATCTTCTTCTGCTCTCTCTGCTTCCCCTCTCTCTGCTTCTGCTCTCCCTGCTTCTGCTCTCTCTGCTTATCTGCTGCTCTCTGCTTCTGCTCTCCTGCTTCTGCTCTCTCTCTGCTCTGCTCCCCCGCTTCTTCTTTATATTTCATACAGAAATATTTAATTATTTACCATTTTCCGTGCATTCTGGGCATTTTCGAGGGTCTCCTCAGGTTATCTTTTAAAAATGCTTCTTAACGCAAACTCGCATAAACGCAGCTAAACTGACAGTTTTTAACCTCCATTTTCCAGCAGTCAGAACAGTTTTCCAAACGCCCGGCGTACATGGAGCCTTATAATTTGGGGGCATTTGTCAGAATGGCTATGTGAGGTCAATGCCCCTCCATGGCCCCTCTACCCCCAAAAAGGCCCCCATGGCCCCTCTATGAATAGTGATGACTGCGGCTACAAATGGCGGCTCTCTCTGATCCTTGCAGACAGCCGGGGGTGGGATTTCTCCGGGGGTCTTCCCTTCTCCTGAAGAAGGTTCTGGGACATCAGTGACAGGTCTGGGGGGTAATAAGGAGACCCTGAACATCACAATCCCCTGTTCCCATCCCCCAAACTATCAGCTCCAGGAAACCACAAAATCCACTAATGAAGTACATAGAGCTGCCATAGGAATGTATTTACTGTCCATCCAGTCCCAAGATTTACACAGCTGTGTCACACAGCACAGCCTGTCTGGCAGAGGAGGAGACCCAGTTTTTCTTTGCTGCAGTTACATTCTTCCTTCTTGCACAGGTGTACCGGCTCCTCCCCTTCTGTCTTGCAGAGTACACCTTTCCAAGACAGGAGGGGAGGAGCCAGTACACCTGTGAATTACCGAGGAGGGGCCGGTATGTGCAAGATTGAAGGGGAGGAGCCGGTACAACCTGTGCAAGACTGAAGGGGAGGAGCCAGTACATCTGTGCAAGACTGAAGGGGAGGAGCCTGTACACCTGTGCAAGACTGAAGGGGAGGAGCCTGTACACCTGTGCAAGACTGAAGGGGAGGAGCCGGTACACCTGTGCAAGACTGAAGGGGAGGAACCGGTACACCTGTGCAAGACTGAAGGGGAGGAGCAGGTACACCTGTGCAAGACTGAATGGGAGGAGCCGATACAGCTGTGCAAGACTGAAGGGGAGGAGCAGGTACACCTGTGCAAGACTGAAGGGGAGGAGCCGATACACCTGTGCAAGACTGGAGGGGAGGAGCCGTACACCTGTGCAAGACTGGAGGGGAGGAGCCGTACACCTGTCTGCTCATTGGTACACTTTGGATTATGTAGACAGATGTGGGAAGCAGATGAGGACTTTTATTAATGGTGCTATTTAGGGGCGGGGCAAAATGTTATCATGGTCTTTCTCCTCCCCTGCCCCGCCCCCCAGGTCTCCTCCTGTCTCTATGGCAGAGGTCGCTGTCACCTATTGAATGCAGCAATTCTCGGGTCCAGACGCATCTGAGGGAGGAAGTGATGGAGGCGGGGCAATCACACCAATCACAGAGCCCGCCTTCTGAGGGGAGGAGTGTCATGAGGCGGAGTTAGGAATCAGCAAGAGACCATGGGATATATAGTCCTTACAAATGGAGAAGCTGCAAAGCATGCTGGGAGGCTGGGAATTGGCGGCCGGTGCATCGGTTACCCCCAGACCGTCTCCAGAGGGCCACTAAAGCCAATACTCCGCGGATGAGGACAGAAACCTCCGGTGTTTGCTATGAGATGTGTAGGATCTCCGCTCCTAGCACTCCTCATGGTGACAACCAGACACACCATACTGAGCATGGCGGGACAGAGGACAGGACTCCTCCTTCACCGGAACAGGTCTCCTCCTTCACTGGGACAGGTCTCTCCTTCAACGAGACAGCACTCCTCCTTCACTGGGACAAAAGACCCCCCGTGACCCCTCCACCCCCACAAAGACACCCGTGACCCCTCCACCCACACAAAGTCCCCCCCGTGAACCCCCACAAAGACCCCCTGTGACCCCTCCACCCCCACAAAGGCCCCCGTGACCCCTCCACCCCCACAAAGACCCCCAGTGACCCCCTCCACCCCCACAAGGACCCCACCTGACCCCTCCACCCCTACAAAGGCCCCCGGTGACCCCTCTATCCCCACAAGAACCCCACCTGTCCCCCTCTACCCCCCGCAAAGTCCCCCCCCTGATGACCCCTCTACCTCCGCAAAGGCCCCCCGACTCCACCACCACAAAGACCCCCTGTGACCCCTCTACCCCCTGCAAAGGCCCCCCCTGACCCCTCTACCCCCGCAAAAGTCCCCCGTGACCCCTCCACCCCCACAAAGACCCCACCTGACCCCTCTACCCCCCACAAAGCCCACCTGACCCCCTCTACCCCCACAAAGGACCCCCTGACCTCTTTCCCACCACAAAGGCACCCTGTGACCCCTCTACCCCCGCAAAGACCCCCATGACCCCCTCCACCCTCTGCAAAGACCCCCCTGACCCCTCTACCCCCCGCATAGGCCCCCATGACCCCTCAACCCCCCACATAGGCCCCCCATGGCCCCTCTACACCGCAAAGGCCCCTCGTGACCCCTCTACCCCCGTAAAGGCCCTCCGTGACTCCTCTACCCTTGCAAAGGCCCCCCTGATCCCTCTACCCCCACAAAGCCCCCCCCCTGACCCCTCTCCCCCCCACAAAGGCCCCCTCATGACCCCTTTACCCCCAAAAAAGCCCCCCTGGCCCTTCTACTTCAATTAAGGCTCTTCAAGCCCCATCACATTTCTGGGGGGGGGCATCCACCAACCATGGCCACGAGGATGGAGTGTAGCCCCCCCTTTCCCCCTGACCATCACATCTATGGGGGGGGGGACATCCCACAACCATGGCCACTAGGATGGAGTTGACACACTGGGAGAGCACTATATGTACATGGGGGGGCAGTTATGTACACGGGGGGCAGTCATGTGTACATGAGGGGTACTGGGGTACTGGGGTACACTGACATGTAGGTGATGACTCCCCAGCCCCCCCCCCCCCCGGTGAGGACCACTATCTGTCATGTCCGGTTGTCATGGAGATTAGAGGTCCTTCAGCTCCAGTCAGATTGCTTCACAGGGTTGGTGGCCTTGATAAAGTCTCAGTCATGCTTATCAGTGCTGGTCATTGGTCCATGGAGCGATCGCTGGGCTCAAGGTAGACTGTTCCAGGGGTTGGGTGGCATTGAAGAGTCTCACCCATGCTTATCAGTGCTGGTCGTTTGGTCCATGGAGCGATCGCTGGGCTCAAGGTAGACTGTTCCAGGGGTTGGGTGGCATTGAAGAGTCTCACCATGCTTATCAGTGCTGGTCATTGGTCCATCAGGCGTTCGCTGGGCTCAAGGTAGACTGTTCCAGGGGTTGGGTGGCATTGAAGAGTCTCAGTCATGCTTATCAGTGCTGGTCTTTGGTCCATCAGGCGTTCGCTGGGCTCAAGGTAGACTGTTCCAGGGGTTGGGTGGCATTGAAGAGTCTCACCATGCTTATCAGTGCTGGTCATTGGTCCATGGAGCGATCGCTGGGCTTAAGGTAGACTGTTCCAGGGGTTGGGTGGCATTGGAGAGTCTCACCCATGCTTATCAGTGCTGGTCATTGGTCCATGGACCGATCGCTTATCAAGGTAGACTGTTCCTGGTCGCTGGGCTTTGGGTGGCATTGGAGAGTCTCACTGCCATGCTTATCAAGCTGGTCGTTGGTCCCATGGATCTCGTTGCTGGGCTCAAGGTAGACTGTTCCAGGGGCCGGGTGGCATTGAGAGTCTCAGTCATGCTTATCAGTGCTGGTCATTGGTCCATCAGGCGTTCACTGGGCTCAAGGTAGTGTTTTAGGGGTTGGGTGGCATTGAAGAGACTCAGTCATGCTTATCAGTGCTGGTCATTGGTCCATCAGGCGTTCGCTGGGCTCAAGGTAGACTGTTCCAGGGGTTGGGTGGCATTGAAGAGTCTCAGTCATGCTTATCAGTGTGGTCGTTGGTCCATCAGGCGTTCGCTGGGCTCAAGGTAGACTGTTCCAGGGGTTGGGTGGCATTGAAGAGTCTCAGTCATGCTTATCAGTGCTGGTCATTGGTCCATCGAGCAATTGCTGGGCTCAAGGTAGACTGTTCCAGGGGTTGGGTGGCATTGAAGAGTCTCAGTCATGCTTATCAGTGCTGGTCATTGGTCCATGGAGCGATCGCTGGGCTCAAGGTAGACTGTTCCAGGGGTTGGGTGGCATTGAAGAGTCTCACCCATGCATACCAATGGTACGTATGACTTCTGCAGGTGGAGGGGGGGCTTAGAGATCAATGCCCCACCCACGCTTAATAACGAGTAGAATTAATTTGCTGGTCGCTGGGCTCCAGTCAGCTGATCAGAATACTGCCATTGCTCCTCGTCAAGCATGTCGCCCAGTTCCATCTCTTGTGTTGACTGTCAAGAACCGACTCCACCCAGCCGACAGATTCCCAGAAGAAGGTAAGACATCTCAATATTTGGACACCTTGGACCCAATTCACGAAGCTTTCACACAAGGTCAGTGATCTTTAGTCATGTGACCATCTTGTTCAGATCTCATTGGCATCAACTGTCACTTGATTGAAGGTAAGAAGGACCTTCTCCTGGTGTGAGCTCTGTGATTGGTGCCTCTCAGAAGGAAGTCTTTCCATCTATTCATAGAGTGATCTTGTTACCCGGCCATTTCATGTGTGTCCCCGTGGTCTGATTCCTTGTATCGGAGTCACGCGTAGTATTTATTGTCCTCACTATTCCTCTAGGAGTATACGGGACTTCGATTTCTATATACCGTGTCCCAGGTGAACCTTATTCAGCATTTATGAATGTCTCCCAGTGGGCACAGTATGTACTATACGAGCCTGCACAGGCTTTAGGTGCCAATGTGGGTCAGGTGATCCCGACACCTGCCAAGTGCCCAGTGTCGGGGGGCTGGGTAGATGCTGTTCCATCTTCGTTCAGCTCTGAGTCGCATCCCGCTGGCCCCAAAGGCCTGCATGGAACATTTTATTCCCCATCCCCCAAACCTTTTTCCAGGAACACCATTTTATTGGTTGATGCCAATTGGCTGCAGCTGTTGAACAAGAAAGGTTTTCCAGCATTCCCATTCGCCAATCTAACAATGGAAGGGGGGTGGCCATACATGGATTGATATTCGGCCAGTCCATCTATGGCCAGATCCAATATGGGGCGGATGCCTCCTTTTGGCTTTGGAACAGGGAAAAGGTTGGAGAGAAAATCCGGAATCTTTCTGCCATTGGGATCAACAGATCTGCAGGAGCAGCATGGAGGACCGCTAGACTGTGGGGGGGGACACAGGGAGGCTGGACAACACCAAGCGGGGGAGGGAGGTTGGGGGGCAAAGAGCAGGCCTAGAGCTTGTAGCCCCTGGACACCCATCACCTGAGCTTCTGAGATGCCTGCTGACCAGGTGATTGCATCACCCAATAGACTGTAAGCTCCTGAGCCCAGGGACTGGATGGCAGGGAGTGTAGAGTGTAAGCTCCTGAGCCCGGGGACTGGATGGTGGGGAGTGTAGAGTGTAAGCTCCTCAGCCCGGGGACTGGATGGTGGGGAGTGTAGAGTGTAAGCTCCTGAGCCCGGGGACTGGATGGTGGGAGAGTGTAGAGTGTAAGCTCCTGAGCCCGGGGAGTGGACGGTGGGGAGTGTAGAGTGTAAGCTCCTGAGCCCGGGGACTGGACGGTGGGGAGTGTAGAGTGTAAGCTCCTGAGCCCAGGGACTGGATGGCAGGGGAGTGTAGAGTGTAAGCTCCTGAGCCCGGGGACTGGATGGCGGGGAGTGTAGAGTGTAAGCTCCTGAGCCCGGGGACTGGATGGTGGGGAGTGTAGAGTGTAAGCTCCTGAGCCCGGGGACTGGATGGTGGGGAGTGTAGATTGTCAGCTCCTGAGCCCAGGGACTAGATGGCGGGGAGTGTAGATTGTCAGCTCCTGAGCCCAGGGACTGGATGGTGGGGAGTGTAGATTGTAAGCTCCTGAGCCCGGGGACTGGATGGTGGGAAGTGTAGATTGTAAGCTCCTGAGCCCGGGGACTGGACGGTGGGGAGTGTAGAGTGTAAGCTCCTGAGCCCGGGGACTGGACGGTGGGGAGTGTAGAGTGTAAGCTCCTGAGCCCGAGGACTGGATGGTGGGGAGTGTAGAGTGTAAGCTCCTGAGCCCGGGGACTGGATGGCGGGGAGTGTAGAGTGTAAGCTCCTGAGCCCAGGGACTAGATGGTGGGGGAGTGTAGATTGTAAGCTCCTGAGCCCGGGGACTGGATGGCGGGGAGTGTAGAGTGTAAGCTCCTGAGCCCAGGGGACTAGATGGCGGGGAGTGTAGATTGTCAGCTCCTGAGCCCAGGGACTAGATGGCGGGGAGTGTAGATTGTCAGCTCCTGAGCCCAGGGACTAGATGGCGGGGAGTGTAGATTGTCAGCTCCTGAGCCCGGGGACTGGATGGCGGGGAGTGTAGATTGTCAGCTCCTGAGCCCGGGGACTGGATGGCGGGGAGTGTAGATTGTCAGCTCCTGAGCCCGGGGACTGGATGGCGGGGAGTGTAGAGCGTAAGCTCCTGAGCCCAGGGACTGGATGGTGGGAAGTGTAGATTGTCAGCTCCTGAGCCCAGGGACTGGATGGCCGGGAGTGTAGAGTGTAAGCTCCTCAGCCCAGGGACTGGATGGTGGGGAGTGTAGAGTGTAAGCTCCTGAGCCCAGGGACTAGATGGCGGGGAGTGTAGATTGTCAGCTCCTGAGCCCAGGGACTGGATGGTGGGGAGTGTAGAGTGTAAGCTCCTGAGCCCGGGGACTGGATGGCGGGGAGTGTAGAGCGTAAGCTCCTGAGCCCGGGGACTGGATGGTGGGGAGTGTAGAGTGTAAGCTCCTGAGCCCGGGGACTGGATGGCGGGGAGTGTAGAGCGTAAGCTCCTGAGCCCGGGGACTGGATGGCGGGGAGTGTAGAGCGTAAGCTCCTGAGCCCAGGGACTGGATGGACGGTATGTGAAGTACAAATCCCGGGAATACAATCTGCACCTTATAGAAGGAGTCCTGACCATTGAGGACAATACAGAGAGACAGCAACCGGGTCCCAGAACAGCGCCCTCCGCTGGGAGCACTCTGCACTACATGGGGGTCAGAAGAGATCCTACACTGCCATCTAGTGACCCTATTATACATTGCACACCGAGCTCTACACCCGCCTTCCTCTCCTTATTACAATCCAGTATTGCACAGGTGTACTGGCTCCTCCCCTTCAGTCTTGCACAGGTGTACCGACTCCTCCCCTTCAGTCTTGCACAGGTGTACCGGCTCCTCCCCTTCAGTCTTGCACAGGTGTACCGGCTCCTCCCCTTCAGTCTTGCACAGGTGTACCGGCTCCTCCCCTTCAGTCTTGCACAGGTGTACCGACTCCTCCTCCCCTTCAGTCTTGCACAGGTGTACCGAGACTCCTCCCCTTCAGTCTTGCACAGGTGTACCGGCTCCTCCCCTTCAGTCTTGCACAGGTGTACCGGCTCCTCCCCTTCAGTCTTGCACAGGTGTACCGGCTCCTCCCCTTCAGTCTTGCACAGGTGTACCGGCTCCTCCCCTTCAGTCTTGCACAGGTGTACCGGCTCCTCCCCTTCAGTCTTGCACAGGTGTACCGGCTCCCTCCCCTCAAGTCTTGCACAAGTGTACCCAGGGGCGGACTGACAACTCATAGGGCCCCTGTGTCCTTGCCCACACTCAAAAAGGCCTATAAAAAGAGTACCAGGGGCATTTCATGGGGTCCCCTACTGACCCCGGGCTCTCGGGCAGTGCCCGAGTGCTCGAATGGTCAGTACGCCACTGGGTGTACCTGCTCCTCCCCTTCAGTCTTGTACAGGTGTACCAGCTCCTCCCCTCCAGTCTTGCACAGGTGTATCGGCTCCTCCCCTTCAGTCTTGCTCAGGTGTACCGGCTCCTCCCCTTCAGTCTTGCTCAGGTGTACCGGCTCCTCCCCTTCAGTCTTGCTCAGGTGTACTGGCTCCTCCCAGTCAATGTTGCCCAGGTGTACCGGCTCCTCCCCTTCAATGTTGCACAGGCGTGTTGGCTCCTCCCCTTCAGTGTTGCACAGGTGTGTCGGCTCCTCCCCTTCAGTGTTGCACAGGTGTACCGGCTCCTCCCCTTCAGTGTTGCACAGGTGTGTCGGCTCCTCCCCTTTAGTCTTGCACAGGTGTGTCGGCTCCTCCCCTTTCAGTCTTGCACAGGTGTGTCGGCTCCTCCCCTTTCAGTCTTGCACAGGTGTACTGGCTCCTCCCCTTTCAGTCTTGCGCAGGTGTACCGGCTCCTCCCCTGGACTGGAACGTCTTCCTCTGATGTCACTGCACACTGGGAACTCCTCACAATGTACATTAGAAGCTGCAGCCAGTCAGATAGAGCTCCGCCTTGTTTCCTGGCTGGAGGACGCCCAGCATCATCTAGCTCAGCCTGCTCTGCTCATAGAGGCTCAGCATCACACTTAATACCCGGTTTCCCGGACACCAGCCATTACACACATTGCGGTTCTGCCCAGCAATCCACCAACATAGAACGCCTCTGGATTGGAGATCTGATCCCATCTGCGGGGGGTATCCAGCTCTGCACTAATCCTGACATTCTATATTATGGGTGAGATTATACTGAATGGGAGAGACGCCGGAACCTCTCCGGGACACCAATCCCGTCCCCCGGAATGTTCTCCCCCTTCCCAGGAGTCATTGCAGCTTCCCAGGCTCCTCCCACTAAGAGAACTGTCATCAGAGGAACAGCGAGCCGTGATTACTGACCACCCCCGGCCTGCCATGGCCCCCACCCCCATATACAGTGCAGGAATGTGTATTTGCTCCCCTCTGATGCTGAACGTTCGCCCCTCACACAGAAATGATCGGTCTAACAATGGAATGTTCGCCCCTCACACAGAAAATGATCGGTCTAACAATGGAATGTTCACCCCTCACACAGAAATGATCGGTCTAACAATGGAATGTTCGCCCCTCACACAGAAACGATCGGTCTAACAATGGAATGTTCGCCCCTCACACACAAATGATCGGTCTAACAATGGATGTTCGCCCCTCACACAGAAATGATCGGTCTAACAATGGAATGTTCGCCCCTCACACAGAAACGATCGGTCTAACAATGGAATGTTCGCCCCTCACACAGAAATGATCAGTCTAACAATGGAATGTTCTCCCCTCACACAGAAACGATCGGGTCTAACAATGGAATGTTCGCCCCTCACACAGAAACGATCGGTCTAACAATGGAATGTTCGCCCCTCACACAGAAATGATCGGTCTAACAATGGAATGTTCGCCCCCTCACACAGAAACGATCGGTCTAACAATGGAATGTTCGCCCCTCACACAGAAATGATCGGTCTAACAATGGAATGTTCGATGTAACACTGAGAGACAGAATACAACAACAAATTCAGCAGAAATGCGTCTAACAAATGATGACGGATCTGCATGTTCATGAGGGAAAGAAGGATTGGATCCCCTATCATTCAGCAGGATTTCTGGCTCCCAGGTGTCTCTCATACAGGTAACAAGCTGAGATTAGAAGCAGTCTCTTAAAGGGAGTGCTGCTAATCTCATTGTGTTACCTGTATAAAAGACACCTGGGAGCCAGAAATCCTGTATATATATACACACGCACATACACATATATACTATATACAGGGAGGGCGGGTTGCAGAACCAACAATTTTTATAACATCAAATGGTTGCAGTTTGGGGTCGAACATCCGATCTTCATCACCCCCCCCCCCCTCTGTATACCTGTTTAATTAGTAGTCCCAGTCTGACTGGAATGTCCCTCGTGACATGATCTCCATGTATAATACATAAGGGGGGATATGATCTCCATGTATAATACATAAGGGGGGATATGATATCTCCATGTATAATACATAAGGGGGGATATGATCTCCATGTATAATACATAAGGGGGATATGATCTCCATGTATAATACATAAGGGGGGGGTATGATCTCCATGTATAATACATAAAGGGGATATGATCTCCATGTATAATACATAAGGGGGGGGTATGATCTCCATGTATAATACATAAGGGGGGGGGGTATGATCTCCATGTATAATACATAAGGGGGGATATGATCTCCATGTATAATACATAAGGGGGGGGATATGATCTCCATGTATAATACATAAGGGGGGATATGATCTCCATGTATAATACATAAGGGGGGATATGATCTCCATGTATAATACATAAGGGGGGGATATGATCTCCATGTATAATACATAAGGGGGATATGATCTCCATGTATAATACATAAGGGGGGGATATGATCTCCATGTAATACATAAGGGGGATATGATCTCCATGTATAATACATAAGGGGGGATATGATCTCCATGTATAATACATAAGGGGGGATATGATCTCCATGTATAATACATAAGGGGGGATATGATCTCCATGTATAATACATAAGGGGGGATATGATCTCCATGTATAATACATAAGGGGGGGGGTATGATCTCCATGTATAATACATAAGGGGGGATATGATCTCCATGTATAATACATAAGGGGGGATATGATCTCCATGTATAATACATAAGGGGGGGGTATGATCTCCATGTATAATACATAAGGGGGGGGGTATGATCTCCATGTATAATACATAAGGGGGGATATGATCTCCATGTATAATACATAAGGGGGGATATGATCTCCATGTATAATACATAAGGGGGGATATGATCTCCATGTATAATACATAAGGGGGGGGATATGATCTCCATGTATAATACATAAGGGGGGGATATGATCTCCATGTATAATACATAAGGGGGGGATATGATCTCCATGTATAATACATAAGGGGGGGATATGATCTCCATGTATAATACATAAGGGGGATATGATCTCCATGTATGATACATAAGGGGGGATATGATCTCCATGTATAATACATAAGGGGGGATATGATCTCCATGTATAATACATAAGGGGGGATATGATCTCCATGTATAATACATAAGGGGGGATATGATCTCCATGTATAATACATAAGGGGGATATGATCTCCATGTATAATACATAAAGGGGGGATATGATCTCCATGTATAATACATAAAGGGGGGGATATGATCTCCATGTATAATACATAAGGAGGGATATGGTCTCCATGTATAATACATAAGGGGGGATATGATCACCATGTATAATACATAAGGGGGGATATGATCTCCATGTATAATACATAAAGGGGGATATGATCTCCATGTATAATACATAAGGGGGGATATGATCTCCATGTATAATACATAAGGGGGATATGATCTCCATGTATAATACATAAGGGGGATATGATCTCCATGTATAATACATAAGGGGGGATATGATCTCCATGTATAATACATAAGGGGGGGGATATGATCTCCATGTATGATACATAAGGGGGGATATGATCTCCATGTATAATACATAAGGGGGGGATATGATCTCCATGTATAATACATAAGGGGGGATATGATCTCCATGTATAATACATAAGGGGGATATGATCTCCATGTATAATACATAAGGGGGGATATGATCTCCATGTATAATACATAAGGGGGGGATATGATCTCCATGTATAATACATAAGGGGGGGATATGATCTCCATGTATGATACATAAGGGGGATATGATCTTTCTATCATCTGGAACCAGTCTGCCCATTCTCCTCTGACCTCTGACCCCAACAAGGCATTTTCCTCCACACAACTGCCACTCACTGGATATTTTCTCTTTTTTGGACCATTCTCTGTAACCCCTAGAGATGGTTGTGCGGGAAAAATCCCAGCAGATCAGCAGTTTTTGAAATACTCAGACCGGCCCATCTGGCACCAACAACTATGCCACGTTCAGTCACTTAAATCCACTTTCTTCCACATTCTGGCACTCAGTTTGAATTTCAGCAAGTCGTCTTCACCACGTCTAGACGCCTGAATGCATTGTGTTGCTGCCATGTGATTGGCTGATTAGCAGTTTGTGTTACCAAGCCATTGAACAGGTGGACCTAATAAAGTGGCCGGTGGGTGTCTGTGTCCCGTCCACCATCCACAATGACACCTCGGTGGAAATCCACGGAAGACACAATCCGGTCCTAAAGCCTGAGTACATCCATGACTATAATCGGCTCATGGGGGGGGGGGGAATTCCATGGTGGAGGGACAGGAAGGTCCCACTTCTGGTACAAAAAGTTTCCATTTACCTTCTTCTTTTGGCAGTTTAGAATTTGTATGTCACTTATTACGTCCACGGAAAATCCCGCCTCCTGTCTCGGATTTCTGGAGGAGATTGTTGCCTGTCTACCAGCGACACCCTCCATGGATTCTGTGAGCCGACTTCATAAGTGACTCTTCAGAGAGAACATTCCACCTGCGGCTGAAGATCCAAAAAAATGGCGGATATGCAGCAGAGAGGGAGTGAGGTGACACCACGTGAGGTGACGTTGTCCCCAACATCCCTCCCAAACCGAGCCTCGGAGACCACACTTCATGGAGACATTAGAGAAGGTCGGGTGAAGACGTCTGACACCCTGACATCTCCCCGATTC